TGCAAATAACTCGAAAACGAAAGAGAATCTCTGAATAGTTGTTGAACAAAAGGTGATCAAAATCCTGAGAGCTTTAAGATGATATGAAGAAAAAAGGGCTGATCCCTAATATTAGGGGCCGTGAGGGGCCAAAAGTCGAATTTTTAAGTCTTAATGTTTAATGTCTGTTTACAGATTATGGAGGCAAATTCGTTCTTCTTCACAATCTTTATCATTATTTTAGAATGAAAAATCTCAATCAAAATCTTATCTCATCTTATCTAGAATCGGACGGAAGACCCATTCGTTGCTCGCAACGAGATCGTATCTAGTTTTTCTTCTACTTCCTAGACGCCAACTTTGAAGCCTCATACATGTATCTCACTCATTTCTCAATTGATTTCGCTCAAATTTTCAGAGATAGAAGTTACTAAACTCAATCAGAATGTTGTCAAAAATTTCAAAAAGTCACTTCCGGTTTTGAGTTATTTCCCTTTAAACAAAAATTTATAGGCTTTCGTTTCCAGACAAAGGCTCAGAGACGGCTAAAGCTGGAGCAGAAACTCTACTGATTTTAGATAATAGAAGGATTGAAGTTGTGCACATCGGTTTTTGTTTTTCGATTCCTCTATTCAAAATGGCGCTATATAGGGGTCAAAAATTAGAACGCTTAGAAGAATAAAAAATTACTCATATTTTGCTTTTTATTTTCTAAACTAAAATATTTTGTTAAAATATATAGAACATTATTTGTGCAGAATTAGAAGATCTTTCAAATGATACCTCGGAAAAAAAGGCTGATCCCTTAAATTAAGGGCCTAGAGGGGCCGAAAGTTTTTCCTTTATATCTCAAAAAGTATTGAGAATTTGTAATACGTCAAGGAAGCAAAGTTGTTTAAAATGTCAAGCTTAATTTTTTAGAATCGTCAAAATAAGTCCGGCGTCGTCACTTCCGGCCCAACCGGAAGTAGTCGAAAAACGCGAAATTTTGACGTTATTGACAAGTTTTTAGTTAATATATGTCTCTGGGAGCCTAAAAATTAATTTTCCGTCCGTCGTCGTCACTTCCGGTCAAACCGGAAGTAGCAAAAAAGTCTTATTTTTGCATTAATTAACTATTCTTTAGATGAATCAACCCATTTTGGGGCGTTATTTCTCAATTTTGTTAAAAATGAAAGCTACTTCCGGTCAGACAGGACGGAAGACCTATTCGTTGCTTTGCAACGAGATTTGCTCTTGTTTTATGTGTATATTCTCTATGTACGCAGGTTAAATCGATAGCCAAAAAATGTATAAAATACTCGTTTACATTGTTAATAAAATAATAATTATTTTACTTGCTTATTTTGTTCATTTCTGTACATGAAAATCAAGTAAAGCAAGTCATTTTGTACCGGTAGAGATCATTGCGCCGTGTGATTGGGTCATGTATTGACCTCTGACCTCTGACAAACTTCATACAGAATTGAAGATATTTGTTCTCTCACAGGCACCTGACGTTACTTATTTTTCTTTTAATAAAAAAAAATATACACATACCGAATAATAAACAAGGTACCCATCGAAACCCGCCATCTTGGATTTTCGAAGTTGGTCATCACTTGTATTTTCGTCTGAACCTCCGTCAAATAAATTCCCTGCAACCATATTCTTTCTGTGGCCAGTCTTTCGAGGTCTAAACTTGCGGACCCCGCACCCCCCCCCCCCCCTCTTTCATTCAAGATTGTTTCGAACGCAATGACCTGTATAGATTAATACAGTATATTTTACAGGTATATTTATAAGAAGTGTTTTATTTTTCCCATTTTGCATTTTTTTCATTTCTATAATCGAAATATTCATTAAAATTTCAAAGTAATTATGACACCCCGCTTTAGATCCACCACAAAACTGACAAATACGGAATTCCCATTAGCATATTGATGTAAACTTCCGGCCCCCTTTTGGCGATTTCTCGGAATGTTGAAGCAGTAGGTCGAGTTTGATGAGGGATTTTCAATATTTGCAAGTGTGATGCGCCTTTCTGGCTGCAGTGTCCGTAAGTTTAGACCTTGAAAGACTGACCACAGAAAGAATATGGTTGCAGGGAATTTATTTGACGAAGTTTCAGACGAAAATACAAGTGATGACCTACTTCGAAAATCCAAGATGGCGGGTTTCGATGGGTACCTTGTTTATTATTCGGTATGTGTATATTTTTTTTTATTAAAAGAAAAATAAGTAACGTCAGGTGCCTGTGTGTTCTCTGTATGTTTATATAATTTAATTTTGGTTGTAACGCTGTATTTGATTGGATAAAAAATTATTTCATATCGTATAAAATGGGTTGCCTACGTCACAATGACTTGCGTCAAAAACGTATCAATCCGCCTGACGTTACATTCAAATTTTGTACAAACTGAAGTCACTTTGTTAGAACAATCATCTTTTTTTCTTACATCAAATGAATGAAAATTAAATTATAAGCAATGAATTTAATAGCTATACCCATTTTATACGGTATAAACAGGGTTGGAACAGTTTACGCTTTTTTATAAACCGCTTCGCGGTTTATAAAGCGTAAACTGCCTCAACCCAGTTTATACCGTATAAAATGGGTAGCTATTAAATTCATTCCTTAAATAATGGAGAGATACCACAAATATATATATTATGAATTAAAGCTTTTAGACGTGACTGTTAGTTTTTCTTTCTTTCTTTTTTTTTTATTTTGTTAACGTCATAGAATTCAATGCAATACATTATTTTGATTTTGGTTTTTTAATACTTTTTACTTTTTATTAATAAAAAAAAAAATTTATAATTAAATTTACAAACTTTTCATGAAATTTAAAATTTGTAAGGAATGAAAAATACTGATTTTTAGTACGTGTAAAATATTTACGGAATGATAAACATTATGAACGGGTTAATGGCATTGATAGTATCCCAGATACCCGGAAGTTTAAATCTAATTCGCAATGTTTGGAAGTGTAACATATTTATAACCTTGATTTAGTCCACATATTGTAATTGTATATAGACACTTTACACCTAAAAATAGGTTAGCGGCTTTGAATATCTTTCTATTTAGCATCCTCTATTATGAAATACGAGTCACATCTTTTTGGGACATTGTTGAACTATACGGGTATTATATGTCTCAAATGCATTTAATTAGATACTAGAAGCATTGCAAGTCAAATGTCATCTAACCCAATTCATTATGTATTTCCAAGATATTCAAAATCATCAGAGCTGAAAGAAACTGCTTTTATAAGTTATTTAGTCAATTTTAACTTGGTTCAGCTCACACGATGGAGCTTTTCAAAGTAGTTGGTTTAATTCTTGTTGTTCAAGGTAAGCACACTATGTAAGCCAAGTTACTCATTTCATCACTGCACGTGATCAAATTTGCAATGTTGGATTTATTTATTATCATTCAATTCGAATTTATCTGCAGAAAATCAATTCACAACATCAACAAAACATAAACAAAAAAGGGGGCGGGGAGGGGGTCATGCAGTTTTTATAAATGATTTACCTCTTTTCATAGGTGTTCCGGATATATATTTTCACGTCTTTTTTATTTTATGAGGTACTTTACTATAATGACTAGAAACTAAAATATTAATCTAAAAATATTTATTGTCAGTTTTAATGTTCTCCGAGGAAGAAATTTTTACAAATTTATTATGTTGTTTATTTCAAATTCATAAAAAAAAACATGTCTGTGTAGGTTCTTATTTTTACATCGTTGCACGCTACTGTCAGATAAATTGAAGTTGCAGGGATTTCAAAAGTATTATTTCACAAATTCTTTGGTCGGTGACATCGACTTTATTTTCCTTTCTTGCAAATACAACCCATTGTTTGGCCAAAGGTCTACCTATTTCATAACGATTTTACTGCTATTCTATTAAATTTCCAAGAGGAAAACTTTTGTTTGGTCATTAAGAAATTTCCCGGAGATGTGACAGAAAAAAACTTTTCCTAGACACCAGATCAGATCCAACCTCTTACTTTTTCCCTGTTCTCTTCAATGTATCGTTCATAAAATTCACGAGATGGATATATGTGTTCTTTTCATTTTTTCATTATTATTAATTCGAATTGCAACTCATATAGCATGAGCGACTTCAGTAAAAAATTGATTTTGTTATTCATTTAAATTACCCCTTTTCCAAATGTAAATGAGCCTACATCAGCAAATTACCCCAATGATTCAACTAATTGAGGTATAAACTCGAGAAAACATCTTCAGACAGTCGGACATATTTTAAAACAAACTTACATTACTGTGAATGACTAGGAATAAAGTTTGGAAAGTTCACATATGAATTCTATTCAAGTTATTTTCATGTTGTAAATTTTGAATTTACCAGGTGGCAGTAAATACAAATTTTTCTTAAATTTTGTATTTACTGCCACCCGTTAAATCCAAAATTTACAACATGACATTATTTGAAATGCACATCAATAATAAACTATATTTCTTCAAGTTGAATTTTGACTAAAAGTGTTCAAATATTATGTCTTGACCATTTAGTTCTGTTTTTACCTTTTAAATTCAGTTGTACATGCAAAATACTACTGTGAAGATACATGGAAAACCAATCAGAACAACGGATTCTGTTATAAGTTCTTTCCGGAAATTCAAGGATGGAAGCAAGCGAGACAGAACTGTACGAATCACAGCGGATTCTTGGTATCCGTAACTGACGAGAACGAACAAAACTTCATCGTTGAACGTAAGTTTTTAAAATATATATATCTTTAAGTATAACTACAATGAATTTAAAAATTATTTAGATTTAAATTCGTTTAAAATACCGTTTTTATTTAAGATATTTTGGAAAACAACTTTAATGGGTCTGTTTGGATTGGCGGCCATTCCTTATATCTCGATGGATGGAGGTGGGATAATTATCGGAGGAACTTTAACTTTTCACAGTGGGATTCTGGTGAGTACCAAGAGAGAAATTGTCTCACCGAAAACATATTAGCGGATTCTTCAGTTTGTTTATTTGTAATAACAAAAAAGAAGATGAATATATCCATGTTCATTAATAGGATCACCGGTCTCCACGTTCCGATGTATAGAAATGATCGGGATATCTGGGTTTAATTGGTCGGACGCTGCCTGTGAAGACCTCAATGCCTTTATTTGTGAAAAACCAGGTATCTTATCTTTTATGTGGTAAATTATGACATTCACTTCAAGATCTAAATGCAATCTCGGTCCTCGCGTAACATTGTTCATATCAGTTTGCAATCCTCTTTCAACTGTAAACACGTAATTTATTGTCCATCATAGTTTGTTATTGTAAATAATGATAAGAAATTCAAAACTCAGTCTTGAACTTTTATAATAAGCTGTGTTTCTCAGCATCGTATAGCTTTCATGATATGAATGAATATGGATATTTTTGGTTACCTTTAAAGCCATGAGTATTCTTTATTTCGGTGTCATTATACATCTAATCCTTTAAAAGTCCTTTATTTTTGTTCAGTGTGCATACCGTAAGTAATACGAATACAGATGCTAAAGATGATATTACAAACATCTGCATTTCCTTTGCAACAAAGGTCAAATAGACTGTGTAGAAAACAAGTGAATCAGGGCACATTACTAATAGGACACCCTCAAATGCCTTATTCACTTCACTAAATTTCTCCACATAAATCCCATGAAACGTTCACTTATTTTTTGTAGCCCAGCTCCTTAATTGTGATGGTGAAGCATACATCGTCCATTTGGAGCCAAACAAACTCACCAAGATCAGTTTCCCGCCTTTTTTTGACCCAGAGCAACCATTCTTATTTCCTCCATATGAGAAGTGAGTGAAACACTTTGTGAAAAAAAAAATATATATATATATAGAATTTCCAAAAGAAGCCCTTGTTTCAATGGTAAAGGATATTCAAATTTTTTATGTTGGAATTTTGGCGTCAAATCAACCTCACTTTACCTAAGTATGATTATGAGAAATAAAGAAGTTTTACATGCATTTTAATCACACTGCCAAAGAAATGTTAGATTTTCATATTTGTCCATTGTCTCTCTTAGTCGTAAACTTTTCACTTTCATAACCAATTGGCCAATTTCAATTAAACACAATACAAATGAAGCATCCATTGGTAAAAGAGTTTAATTTTTGTAATAAAAGGGCTACACCTTCTACAGAGATTAAAAAAAAACCTACGATGGGATCATTTGAAATTTCAAGAACTAAACGCTGAAATTTTCAGTGAAATCTTCCTGTCACAGAGTTGGTTCGAATCCTGATGGGTTTACGTCTTATATTTATGTAGACCGGAGTTACTTTCGGGGCAATGACCTCGGGGATCAAACTCACCATAACGCTTGTATATAGGGAAGAAAATCTTTAAAAATATCTTAACTCAACGGTTACCTTACGTGATACAGATTGGTATTAAAGCACTGCATACTGAGTGCGTTCAAGTTCGATTAAGTCGTAACCCTTTCCATGTGTATCTTGTATTTTTTAGAAATTTAACTTGTGTTTGGAATATTTTGCCACCAACGGGATACAGAATTGTCATAGATTTTTATTTACTCTGTAACGACGATTTAAAGGCATTTCAAGGTAGGCATTGAAATTTAAAAACAAAAAAGATTTTATTGTAAATATTCTAAACAATTTTTTCTAAGTCAATGACTTTGTACAGCTAAAAAGGCGAGAAATTGAATTTGATTAGGTTTCACGGTCCAAAACGATACACAAAGTCATTCATTCTTCTTTTTTTGTTTCCATTTTCTAGGAAATACTTCATTCGACAACATTTCGTGCGAGAATAGTTTCGGAAATTATGAACTTGAAGATCTAGTTTTGCAACTATTATTTACAACAAATTCTGTCTCTAAACTTGGAAGCGAACAGGGATTTCAATTCAGATTTTTCGCAACCAGTTTAAAAGGTAATAGCTGGATATCAGTACATATGAAATATATAGAGATAATGAACAGTATTCAAGCTTAAAGTCCATTAAACAATACAAAATAGGAGCAGAGCAAACACAGATCTCCAAAACATCAGAGGTGGGATCAGCTGCCATAGAGGAGTGAGCATCCCCTGCCGACCGGTCACATCCGCCATGTGCTCCTTGTATTGATCAGAAGAAAAAAATACCGGAAAAGTGGATAACTCTGTGTGTGAATACTGGCATAACAATGATTATGAAAAAAAGTCAGTCAGCATTTGACTTCATGATACATTGTCTTTGCTGAAAAAGTCATTGTATCATTTATAGAATTTACGAAGCTCTGATGAATTTAAACGCGACAGCTGATAGTATTGGTTCATCAACTTGTTTGACTATAACTTACATCGTTATTGATATGGAATTAATAAGTCATCTCCACATGCTACAAAAAAAGGAGCAGATTTGTCTTTCATTCTCCAAAAACATTATGTTTTAAAATGTGGCATATTTATATGTTAATAATCTGAAAGTGCATTTATTGTAAGTTAACATACTTGAGCTATTTATATGCATGTTTTATTTATTGTATTGATATAGATGATTAAGCAATATTACATGTATTATTTTATTCAATATTTTAAAATAATTATGATAACGCACGCTTCTGTTTCATTTCTTTGTGTAAATACTCAAAATGCTGATCTAATATTTGAATACTTTTGCAAATTTTTATGAAACCTTTTCACAGGAGAAACGACCTGTGACACGGAAGGAGTTCCATTAAAGGCCTCATCTAAGAAACAAATCCTTACATCCCCAGGATTTCCGCTAAGCAAGTAAGTTGCTGTCTTGTAAGACAAAGTCAAACTTCGAGATCATTAGACCATTCCTACTCTTAATATACCTACTGTAACCATATTACAATTTATTATATTTTAATGAATTTTACTACTTGTATGCATGTGGCTTTATTTGTCATAAAATGCTCTATACTCTGTAGTTTGACGTTTTTATCAGGAGCGTCTCTATTTTGTGTTCACTGTGATGTAATTGTATTTTTCCTGCAGATCAGCATCGTGTGTATGGACCATAGTTTCTCCAGTACATGGATCCAATATCTATGTTCAGTTTAGGTACTTAAACATCAGCAATGGCGGGGAACTTCAAATCTGGAACTTTGGTAATTTTGCAGATATTGTTCAAGAAACATGAATTTTATGTTAAAGCAAATTATGAGGTCAAACAAAGGGCATACATAAAACTTGAAAAAACAATTGGCAAAGGAGGGTAATAAAGGAGAAAGTATGAACTCTGTGCAGAGTTTCTGAGTTTAATTGCATCATTTTATTAATTCAAATTAAAGCATAGATGGTAATGGATGCTGGAGGTAAAAATAATGCTGGAGAATGTAATATCAGTCACATGAATAAAATTAAATTTATATACATTCATATATGTAGTAATAGAGATCACTGCTATTATATTAGTATGATAGTCACATAGAAAAAATAATTCCACATGTAAAAAAATCTTTAATCTTTATAGCCTGTTTCTTTATATGTAATAATGTCTACTGAATAAATCTTTAACGTTTTGTAATTGATTTTGAAATACCATCCAATCTTGCATGATATATCTAGTAAAGCATTTTTTTTCTATTTTTTTCTTCTTGATTTTTTGCACAGATTCAGATTCTTTTTTAGTTTGTTTAATGAATATAACTACACTGGAAAAAACACGAGATAAAAGCGAATTGAGCTCTGTTTTATACACACGAATAACACAACCTAATCCTTTTTTCAGCTTGGCCACATATGAATTCCATGTTTTCTAGATCATCAGTTTTAGACGATTCTAGGACTTTGAAGTACTCTGGAGAAAAGATTGTTCTGAATTACACCAGTCACGACTCAACGTCTGGACACCATGGCTTCTCACTGGTCTTTTTTACGGGTATTCAGTCATCTTTGATATTTTTAGCTCACTTGAATCATTCAGGTGACCAATTGATATCTATATTTTGTTCGACCTTGTGTCGTCCTTCGTAAACATTTTTACTTTTGCTATTTTTTTTAATTTAAAATATTTCATCCAAGTGAAATCTTAAATGCCAAAAAAATAATAAGGTTGAGAAAATTCATATATCTCTAGAGCATTAAGTATTAAAATTTTATTGGCAGATGAAGAGCGCGCTGAGATTTGCAGTCAACCTTCAGTTACCAAAGAATTGAATAAATATGGAATAATTAATCCGGAAGATAAATTCATGATTTTTTCAGTGAAAGCATCAAACCCTTTTTCTGCAATAGAGCTGTCGAATTCTTTCAATATAGAACTAGTTTCGACGGGTGGAGAAAGTGTTTTTGTTACATTTCATTCAAACTACCGATACTTATTTCCTTATACTTGCATAAGAAAAATGAATGTAACAGGTGCTTGTCTGGAAAGATACGATGGTATTGATTTAGGTGACACAATGTTTCAAGATTACTGGATTTCTTGGTTTGACACACTAAAGGTTGGACGCGGAAGGATACAAGGAGAAAACGTCATAATGGACCTCCGGATTTACAATCCAATGAGTGTTAATTTCTCGTCTGTTCAGAGTGAACGAGATACAAGTTGGAACTTTTATGGTTCTACTGTACGCACAGGTAGGTTCTCATACTTTTATAATTATAAAGTAAAAGTACTTTTTTTTACACCTAAGTCACTCGAAAGGCAGTTTGCCATCTGTTTTCGACCGTTGTCGTGTGATGTGCTTCGTCTGATAACGGTTATCATTTTCAGCTTCTCTGGAAACACAGAACGAACTTAAACGAAATTTGTATATAGAATCTATAATGAAAGGGAGACAAGACGTGTGGAATTCATCTCGTAGTTCCTGCCCCTTAGGCCCAAGAGATTGGGTAAAACCATCAAAATCAATGCAATTTTAGATTTAAAAAAATCTTTTACTCTTAGCTGTCCAAGAACACCGTTGACATTATTGCAAAATGCATCAATCCTTCTAAAATTGTAAAATTAATGGCCCATACGATTTGGGGTTAATGAGTTTGCGTTAAACTCATATTGTGCATTAATTTTTATAAATTGAAAAGATTTGCATCTCAAGCAAAATTACACTCAAACAAACTAAATGCATAGCATAAGTCAGTGTGTATTGATAACAGTTACATACTAAACGAGGAAGAATATGTGTGAAAGAATTTTTAAGAAATTAAGGAAAGATGGAGTAAGGAGAGAGGAAAGGGGAGGGAAGAGGGATGAGAAAGAAAGGGCACTTAAAATTCAGAACACTGTTACTGTAAAAAGATTTTGACTTCTTACAATTCTTCATCAGTTTGCTGTCGCTGTGTTTTTAATTCTTCAAATACAGTTTTTGAACAGTGAAAACTTTTCAGTTCTAATTATGTCAAGAAGTTCATGTTTTAATTCCAATATGCATAATTTTATTGGAATTTTTTTAACTTACTTGAAATAATATACAGTTTGATAATCATAATTAGCAGATTCTCATACTTGTATTGGTCTCTATATATAAATTTACGAGATTATATTGATTTCTTATCGAAGCAAACTAACCGGCTGAGTTTATCCAACATCAATATTTCAATCGCCAACCAAAGTTCTTTAACAAAGAAACATTCAACACAAAGATGATCAATAGTTTCATATCAGTATAACGGAAGGAACATACTGGTGATTCAATCAATTTTGATTTATAAAGATAACTTTTAGTAGGAATTATTCCACGTAAAATTTGAAATGGTAACCTTTAAATTTAGATTCTTGAGTTTTTCAAAATGGTAGGCTCAAAAAAATTTTCCTTTGATGTTTCACAAAATTGTTCTTCTTTTCTCCATTTTATAATTGAAGTTATTTTACCATTTTATTTTACTAAGAAAATTATACACATCTTTACACCTTTTTTTACTCTGAAGAAAAATCAGGATACTAGCAGGAATAAGTGGTCTGAAAATTGGAGTTATTTTTCGATCTTTATTACAAGTTTCTTATAGCAGTTCTTAGTCCTTCATATTCAATGTAGTTTGTCATAACTTTGAAGCTATTTTGAATATGATTAAAACTATGAATATTACATTTGGATCAATGAAGTCATTGATAAAGACAAAACCAGAGCTAAAATAACAATGAAAATTGACCGACCACCTATGGTAATCTTTGATTGTACCAAACATGTTTTTGCTGAAGTGTTGATCCATTCATAGCATTAATCTGATATACTTTATACCATTGTCTATTTTTTAATCAAAGATTTTGTGGAGATATGCCACACCTCGATAGGACGTACCACTGAACCATTTAAGAGACTGTGGGGACACCAACTTCCGGTTCGGGGTTACGACTACCTTGGCTTCTCCGTCAAGGCCTGTGAACGCGCTATTGTTGAGTTCCAAAATACAGACATGGATTTCATACGGATTTTGTTCGATACTCCCGTAGGTGAAAGTAGTATACTTGTCTCCTGCATCACTAATTCGTTTAGTTTTGACAACATCGACGAGTGTATTTCTGATGTATATTTCGGTAGAGTCTTAAACTGTACCGAATACAGAGACTTTTGGATATCTTGGGGAGGAGGTTCAGGCATGCAGGTTGGAGAAGGTAAAATCGTGGGAACTAATACCATCATCAAGAACACTACTAACTTTAATCCAGTTGAGGATTCGTTTGTGGTTGGAAATGATCACAGTGTTGATGTTTCCTTTTCATCTTTATGGCTTTTTGATCGGCCAAGTCCAAAGCCAGGTAAAATATTGTTTAATGCAAATTTTTAAAATATACACTTACATAACTATCAAAATTAGTACCAAAATTAGTACCAATAAGTTACTCCTGGATAAAAAGCAGACAAACACAATGAAAGGGCCTGGTATAGGGGACTGTGCATAGTTTCTTTGATAAACTTCTTCATTGCAGTTGGTATTAACAGACAACTTATTACATGGTTGTAATGAGCAAGAGTGAAATTTATATATAGCCCTTGGGTTTTGGTGTTAGGACAGGGCTCAGTTGATTTAACTGTGAAAATATATTATTAATTATAAATATTCAGTTTGGATCCTTTGCAGTCTGTGAAAGTGATTTTAAAAATGGATTGAAACTGGATTATTGAAAATTGTATCATGTACACATTGTTCATTGTTGGATTTTTGTGGATCACAACTTTAACCTTGTGCAAAGGTCAAGAATCCTTTACATTGTAGAATAAGTAGATAAAATCCATGTTCAGAGTGTTCACAATCTTCAGAATTTGAGGGGGCCGACTGTGTTTTCCATTGCGCAATATTAAGCGCATCATAGTAAAATGAAACGTATTTACTGTTTCAAAGCACCTTTTCGCTTATTTATTTAAAATAAACAAAATTAAGAAATTGTAGGTATAAAATTGTAATTACAACTTTATATAACTGATTTTTTAACCGATTTTGCAATTCATAGGTAGGTTGACGTCGTTGCAGTGTGTTTTTGACGTTATGATAAACTGAAGCTCTTTAAGAAAGGAGTAATAAAAATGTTTAATAAGAAAAAGTAATAAACATACGCTCTTGAAATTTAAGATATAGAAATTTGAGAAGATCTCCATTATTTTTATTATGTTTTCATATGAATCCCTTTAGCCCGTCATATTTTGTAATACTCTATAAAAATAGGAAAATTCGTTAATTTTTGGCATTTTGAGACGCCCCCCTCTGGTAACAAGACGGTAGAATTTTGTGTTTCTTGCGTATATTGTATAATATAGTATTACTCATCAAATATTATAGTTTGAACAAAAAGTCTATCGAAGTATTTGTATAATTTGCTTTAAAGTGCTATAGATTGGCATTTTCCTATATAATCCTATAGTAAATGTACCTGTATTTTGAGACGGCCCCTCAAAAATACCTGGACGGTAGATTTCCCCCAAACTTTGCATGAACACTAAAGGTAAAGTAAGTCATATATGGTATAGAAATGAAGAGTTTCACTATTGTAGTTTTCACACAATAAAACCCAGTCGGCCCCCTTAAATTAAATTTTTGCAAAAGGACAATAACATATTTTTTTCTCAAAAAAAATAAGGGTTTTCAGTTTTTTAAGATAGTGATTCTTTATTTTCTGTTGATTGGAAGCTTTATAGTGCAATAAATCTGTTATATTGCGAAATGTAATAACAAATCAAATGTAATAACCCGGGATTATTGCATTCTGCGTAATAACATTTTGCGTCAAGATCAACGCAGAATGTAATAATGCTAAATGTAACAACACGCTTTTAAGGATTATTTAAGAATTGAATTTAATAGCTACCCATTTTATACGGTATAAACTGGGTTGGGGCAGCTTACCCTTATAATTTAATTATCATTCATTTGATGAAAGAAAAAAGATGGTTGTTCTAACAAAATGACTTCAATTGTACAAAATTTGAATGTAACGTTAGGCGGATTGATACGTTTTTGACGCAATTCATTGTGACGTAGGCAACCCATTTTATACGATATAAAGTAAATTTTTTATCCAATCAAATACAGCGTTACAACCAGAATTAAATTATTACATTTTACGTTATTACATTTTGCGTCAAGTTCAACACAAAATGTAATAAAGCAATATGTAACAGAAATTTCACGATTTTTTGATTATTACATTTTGCGTTGTTACATTTTGCATCGAGATTCAGCAAAAGGTAAGAACACAAAATGAAATAACACACATTTTGGTCAGCCTATTTGAGTATAATTTTCAATTGAGTAGTGGGCATAAAAAAAATAATAAATAAATAAAAATAAAAACGCAAAGAAAATAAAACAAACAGAAAAATAAACATATGCTAATTCTTACAATAGATCGGATTTTATAATATATTGATTTAATTAGCTATAATGATGCATTTAAAATATTCAAATTAAATGTGTTGCAATGAAACACATGGGGATTAGAAACATGCGTGCGGTGGGAGAGGGTTGTTGTTTGTGGGGGATGACCAGTCTACATGAACTTTTACTTAATGATAGACAAATGGCATGAATCTAAAATAATCTATTAATTTGTACTGGCAGGATTTAATATACAGTGGGGAGGGGATTATTGACAATTATGATTCCATGCTGTTTTACGAATTACTTGCATTGCAAACCGACAAAACATCTCTCTCTCTCTCTCTCTCTCTCTCTCTCTCTCTCTCTCTCTCTCTCTCTCTCTCTCTCTCTCTCTCTGTATTTCTAACCAATAATAACATATATTGATTATGTATGTCAATAATAATACATCATCAATATACGAAATAAACATACGACCTCATCATTGCCCCTCCTCGCTAAATGCACACACATTCACTTCTAATTTGCTGCTTACCAATGTACACATGCCGAACATGCATATAAAGAGCTTTAAATGGACCTATGGTCAATCTTTGGTAATTAAAAATGTCATTGGTTAGATAATTAGTAAGACTGGTTTATAAAAAGGCATGCTTATCTAAGTTAAATTAATATTTTATACGTACAGTTATTCAATAAAAATGTCAAAAACAGAGTTAAAAAAAACATTCATTGAGTAATGTCCGTAAAAAGCCGTATTGTTATTGTTTGTCTCATTGTCATAGTTCTAACTATATAGTGAGATTTCCCATGGCTATATATTTAAATAACATTTTATGATGTTTTGTGTTAACCACAATCCAAAATATTAAGTGCATTCTGTTTTATTACATATTGTTTTATTACATTGTGCGTTGTCTTCAACGCAAAAAATAAAATAACGCAAATTGTAATATCAAAAAGTACCTTATTACGTTTTGCGTTGATCTCGACTCAAAATGTAACAACGCAAAATGTAATATTCCAAAAATCGTGTTATTACATATTGCGTTATTTCATTTTGCGCTGATCTCGATGCAAAATGTAATGACGCAAAATGTAATAATGCCAATTTATTACATTTTGCGTTGTTATTACATTTCACATTGTAACAAACCTAATCTATGTATCCATGTAATGTATCCGACCCATATTAGGACCTAATTTCCCTACCTTAAATAGCAATCGTGTATAAAATACCCTGATGTTGTTTAAAAGCACTTTAGAGTAGAAAAGGATTTAGGCCTACCAAGAGAAATTTACAAAAATATTACCTAGTCAGTAATTAATCTTTGAATGTTGCATTGATGTCTGTGGAAACAAGTACATTTTTGAAAATTCAATTCCAAAATATCAGTAAATGCTGCGTTGGAAAGATGTATTTGATCCTTAGAGATAGAAAAAAATGATTGAAATTTTTTTTATCGCCGAATAGATTAAAATAAATTATTGAATAAAATCAAAGGTGGATAACTCTTCAAGGACAGTACAAGGTGATAAATTTTAGCTCTCACATACTGATGCTAAAACATGAAATTTTAAATAAATTTAATAAGTATCCAACTCATATATATCTGTTATGCATTTCCTTGAATCTGGGGCTAGTATGGGTCGAACACCTTAATCATGCTTCATATATTTTAACAGAAATCATCAACATAACTGCAAGTTATGTGGTTCCCTCTCCATATGAAGTCGAAAACACAACACTGACAATGTCTGCACACATAAATGTAGTATTTGAATTTCAGGTAAAATGGTTTAGGAACGGAATTCTTGTTACACCGTCTTTTGGGAGGTACTTGATCCGCCAATCGTTTATAGAAGTGATGAAGTGCTCACTCACAATCTTACAGCTAGATCTTCAAGATGAAGGTAATGGTTAATTGAAAAGAACTTCAATTAAATTGAATGAAACTGTCATATTTTAAGAGTTGTATTTTTCACATTTTCTCTCCTTACATATGAATTCGCTAAAAAGCTAGCTCCATTGTCTGCCAGAAGACCATTTCAACGTAAAAATAAAAAAAAATAGTACCCGTCAGCAGAAAATGTTACTTATATTAACTATAGTGCTTGGTAAAAAAAAAGTTGGAAGTTTTGTTAATTCACCAAAGCATGGACCGTTGAAAAACTTTGAAGATAAGGCCTCAGTTGAAAAAATATTGGTTGTTTACCCATTCCAGAAAAGTGGCTTAAAATTTTCAAACTCAAAACTTCTTTTACCCCAAAGAAAGCAATGAATTATTTTTTTACGTGGTCTGTAAAATATATTTTGAAATTCAGCACTGTAATTGGGATTTTTTTTTTATATATGTATATAAAAAAGTTCTTAGCTAGCCTACCTGTCCAGGTCTTTCATCTTGAGTCGGGTGAGGTCAAATAAGGATTATTTTAAAGTTAGCTTAAGCGTCAGTGGCCTCTTCTTCTGTGAGTGGTGTCGTTCTATGCTACGGACTACCCGTTCCAGAGGCCATTGAAAGAAGCATTCCACTGGTAACACCTTAAAATGATGAAAAATTAATCCCGACAACAAAATATTACTCTTTCGTGTCGACAAAGAAGTCCAAAAATTACTTGAATAAAGAAAAGTTAAAAACAAGTCATGTATTACCAAATGTGGAGCCGCCTCCGCAGTGCAGTTGTTAGATTGTATATCCTAATGTTGTGAAGTAAGGAGCTGATCCTTACTTCGTGAAGTTGAATCCACTGGGAGACTTTGAGAGCGATCCTCCTGATGAGGACTGAGATTCAGTGTCGCAGTAGGTGTTGGTCGAAAAAAAGAACCGTAATTGCTCAATTAGCCTTGAGTGCTGAGCATATATAGGTATATATTTGCAGCCCTCCAACAGCAAGTGATGGCGTCTCCACATGAGAGAAAAAATCTTAAGAGGTACTTTAAACAGAAAAAAATAAACAAAACGAAACAAACAAATCCAAATGTTGATAAAACATAAAAAGGTGATCAGGTTACTGGTACACGCAGCGGTAATATAAGTTGGATATAGTAATTAAAAGTCGTGTCCCTTCAGTTTTGATTGATCAAGAAGGTACATTAAGCTTTGGCCATTATTCTTTTATAATTTGAATTTATGGATGCTTGAAAATATAATAGCTGAATGAGGAGAGCAAATAAAAAATTGAAAATTGACAGATTTATTACACTGCTAATATAGCGAATATTTATACTGCGAGGTATATTTCCCTATACAATATCATGAGTCAGGTAAAAAAAATTTTTACAGCCAAATGGACGGTCAGAGTTTCAAATAATAATTCCGAATCCACCGCCAACTTCAATATAAAAGGCAAGTATTATTATAAATTATATGTTTATATGTTTATAATAATATGTTATAATTATATAATATAAAACTCAATACTTATTCACAAACAAGAGGACAGAACATACCGGTATTTTGACATATTGCTTGTATCAATTCTATGTTATATTTTCTTTTCAGTAAAGCCAGAAATTCAGATTGAAATCTTGCCACACTCCGGAGTTTTCATTCAAGCAGGGAATACATTAAATCTTGTTTGTAACATAACAAATCTGGACAATTTACAGAGGTTTTCGATAAACGTTTCCCTGTTGACGTGGTATAAAGATGGAATCAAAATACAAGGTAAAACACAAAGCGCAGACTACTTTAATGTTAATGAGAACATGTAAAGAAATTTTTTTACCACTATTTAAAACTCTTGCACAGTGTTTGTATCATTAAACTGTAATTTCAATATTTTTCTAGTAATTTCCTTTTAATATATCAACAGAAAATTATAATCGGGCAATTGTCACCACCCATCGGTCCTCCAAAACACTGCACATCATTCACGTTCAGCAAAGTGACAGAGGGATATATACCTGTAACCACGAGAGATATCGGACACCAGGGGTAAAAAACGTAGTAGTGGGCATTTATAACCAGGGTAAGGATTCAAACGACATGTTACTGATTTTGTTCACCTAATGCTAATATGATAAATATTTGATATACTATTTCATTTTTAGACAAAACTCTTTGCCCTTCATCCATGGACATCTACGGAATTTTTTGGCCACCCTCGATTCCTGGAACGTTAGTACATTCCAAGTGTAAAGAAAGCAAACAAGGTACATGATGAATTTCTTTTTTTTTTTTACACACATATAGAGACATAAAATGTATTGACAAAATATTTTATTTTAATTTTGTAAGGAAATGCTAGCAGATATTGTGATTATGATGGCACATGGAAAGAAACAAATGTATCAAACTGTGACGATGAAGAATTGTCCAATGCCGTGGAAGAGGTTTGTGTTTTTCCCATTTTTTATGTAACAATACTGAAATGTTGAGATTAAAAAACGGATGCATGATGTTTTGGTCATATTTACTTACATTTTCAGCTCCAAAACCTAGAAAACGAAGGCATTGTTGATAAAGAGTATATAGAAAAAATCTTCAATAGTTCCTTAGGTGTAACAGAGAATATAACTGCTTCTAGGTCTGGTATTTCATCGGGAAATCTGTTGGCCTGCATAAATATCCTTAATATTATTCTAAATATAGCAACACGAAGCAACGCTTCTTTACCAGAAAGGGTAAGAAATATATATCAGATGATGTTTAAGTCAGGAAACTGCGTAATATGGAATCTTTTGGCTTGCATAAACTTCCTATATATTATTCTTAATATAACAACACGAAGCAATTTTTCTTTACCATATATAGAGGGTTCAAAATGTATATCAAATAATGTTTAAGTTATATATACATGTAAAACTGTGTAGTAATTATATTTGGGAGAGTTTTGAATTATTTTTGTTTTAGGATTTATACAGCATAATGAACAATATCCTTGCTATATATAATAAGGAAGCGTGGAGGATTATTGAAGACGAGGTAGTTCTTTACCTTCTCATAGATTTAAGTTGATAATGACTGAATTGTTAAACTAAAAACAGAAAACTGAACCTGATTTTTATAATAATTCCAAACATTTCTGACTTCCCAAAACACAGATTGGATCAGATTCGATTTTTAAGATTATGGATCGGATGAATTTACTACTCATGAACGAGTCTCAGCCCGTTAAATTTACAGGTGAAAATATAGGTGAGTGAAATTATTAATTTCTGATATGAATATTAAAATATCTGTGTATATATTTCCTTAGCAATAATGAAAATAAAACTAACACTCTCATATTACGCAAACTTTACAACGTTTGTTTTAATGCTGGTACGAAGAATAATATTAATTTTATGATTGATTAATTTCCATCTTTCTGATTGGCTGAGATCCAACTATGTAAGTAAAATACTACGTTGTATTGACCTGCACTTGACATTCCAGGTGAATACAAGGAATTATTGCAGTTCAATATAATGAATCACGTGACCTTCCAGGTCAATATAAAGAATTATTGCAGGTCAATATAAGGAATTATTCCTGTTCCATTTTTCTTGTTACAATGTGTTCTTGTTGAAATTTCGCGTTCAAACTTATCATTTAATCATATAATGAAACAGTTATTGCTGTTTTTGCGGTAAATACGATGATTTAGCCACCTTCGGTCTCAGTGAATATTGTACTCCTCAGGTGTTTAAATCATCGTATTGAAAAAAAAAAGGAATAATTGTATAATACCTCACAGTCAACGCTCAACAGGGCAACTAAATTTAACCTTTGTTTTCGTTTTGTAAACTGTAGAATTTTTCAAATCATCGAGACATCAATCATACTTCTCATTCTCACAAAGTTTTGTTCGAAAGCCGGATGGACTCATTTTTGCCAAGATAAATATTTTCTCGTTATAATGACTTAATTTTCTCGGTATAACGACTTAATTTTCTCGTTATTACGAGATTATTAATTCGTTATAACGAGATATTTAACTCGTTATAATGAGATAATTACTCTTTATAACGAGAAGACTAACTCGTTATAAAGAGATACAAATTCGTTATAACGAGTTCATTATCTCGTTATAACGAGATAATGAACTCGTTATAACGAGACGCTAACTCGTTATAAAGAGATACCAATTCGTTATAACGAGTTACATATCTCGTTATAACGAGATAATTATCTCGTAATAACGAGTTAAATATTTTTTGTCTTGTCAAAAATGAGCTTATCCAGCTTTCGTAGTAAGGTTAGCGAAATCATGTAGAAGTTAAATTAAGGGGAATTATACAATTTAGTTGTTGGTTGACCCTTATCGTCTGTAGTCAGTTAAAATCCAAAATATGAAACATATGTAACCGCCTCTATGGTGTCTTTTATTTCAAGTTAAGAGAGATATATCGAGTCGACATATGAATGATATTATTTTATTAATTGATATGATATCCGCAGTGTACTGGTATCTTAATGTCAAATAAAGTGTAGATCATTTTGAAGAGAAAATCTGTTTCATAGGAATATAAAACATTTCAGCTAACTAGTAAAGGAGCACACTTTCTACCCATTAATATTCTTGTAGTTTGTTGGAAAACAATGATGTCCCGAAAGTCAAAACTTGGCATTGGGGCAATGATTACATCTTAAATTCGACATCTGTATGTCTAATTGCGACCTTGGATCTCGAAAATCGAATTTCGAGTTTATTAATTCAAATTTTGAATATTGAGTGATCCTTGTCAATCAATTACATTTTGTTCTGCAGTTGTCCACATCAACAATGTGTCTCTTAAAGATACAGACCTAAGATTTTTGGAGAATGACTCGTTTTTCGTCCTTCCGAAACAAGAAAAAGACACTTTTCAAGGTATTTGAATTTTACGTGATCTTCAAGTACCAGGCTGAACAATATAAGCAAAATTCGTAATATCTTGGGAATTTTATTTGATCTTTATTTAGAAAAACACTCATGTAGTGAAATACCAGGATGAACAATGTAAACAAGATTCGTGATATCCATTAAGATTATTACCTTTTTAGGTCACCTGAGTAAACTCAGGTGACCTATTGCTATCCGTTTTCGTCCGTCGTCGTCCGTCGTTCGTCGTGCGTTAACATTTAAACATTTTCAGCTTCTTCTCTGAAACCGGCGAACCAATTTCAATCAATTTTGGCATATAGCATCTATGGGTAAAGGGAAACCAAAACCCCTGGGGCTTGGGGGGTGGGGCCAAAACCACTAAAATTAGTGCAGTCTTTAAAAATCTTCTTCTTTATCCTGGACATTAAGCAGTCAAACTGTTGGTATGATTGTAATCAGCATTGAGTCCTCTACCAAAATTGTGAAATTCATGGCCCCAGGGTCAGGGGCTCTGGTGTTAGGGCGGGGCTCTATTGATTATATAGTGAAAATGCATTAATTCTTTGAAAATCTTCTTCTCTGCTCCTGGGTATTAAATAAACTAATTAAATTCATAGTTATGATGAGCAAGAGTGACTCTACCAAAATTGTGAATTTTATGGCCCTAGGGTCAGGGGTTATGGTGTAAGGGCGGGGCTCTATTGATTATATAGTGAAAATGCATTATTTCTTTGAAAATCTTCTCCTCTGTTCCTGAATATTAAATAAACTAATTAAGTATATAGTTATGATTAGCAAGAGTGTCTCTACATAAATTGTGAATTTTATGGCCCCAGGGTCAGGGGTTATGGTGTAAGGGCAGGGCTCTATTGATTATATAGTGAAAATGCATTAAATCTTTGAAAATCTTCTTCTCTGCTCCTGGGTATTAAATAAACTAACTAAGAACATAGTTATGATGAGCAAGAGTGCCTCTACCAAAATTATGAAATTCATGGCCTCAGGGTTAGGGGTTCTAATGTTAGGGCGGGGCTCTATTGTTTATATAGTGAAAATGCATTAAATCTTTGAAAATCTTCTTCTCTGCTCCTAGGTATTAAATAAACTAACTTAGTATATAGTTATGATGAGCAAGAGTGTCTCTACTAAAATTGTGAATTTTATGGCCCCAGGGTCAGGGGTTATGGTGTTAAGGCGGGGCTCTATTGATTTTATAGTGAAAATGCATTTATCTGCTTCTGAGTACCAAATAAACTAATTAAGGACATAGTTATGATGAGCAAGAATGCTTCTACCAAAATTGTGAATTTTATGGCCCCATGGTCAGGGGTTATGGTGTTAGGGTGTGGATCTATAATGATTATATAGTGAAAATACATTACATCTATGAAAATCTTTTTTCTCTACTTCTGGGTAATAAGCAGATGAACTATTTATATAGCTATGATGTGCAAGGGCTCTTCTTCCAGAATTGTGAATTTCAAGGCCCCTGGTTTAGGGATACCAAAGAGGGGGGGTGGGGCTCTACTTATATACTGAAAATGAATTGTTCGATATCTGCTCCTTGGTATTAATGAAACATTTTTGATAAGCAAGTGTGCCTTTTCAAAAATTGTGCAATGTGTAGACCTAGGGTCAGGGGCTCATGTGTGGTAGGAGCACTCCTGATTATTGCTGAATATTACTGATTAGTTGACATATTTTTGTTCCCCTACTCTGCTTATGGGTATTAAGCAAACAAACTAAACAATTGCTAAGTGTATAGTTATGAAAAACATGAACCAAATTCAATCATTTGAAAGTTGTTGCATGATGCTCAGGTGACCTATAAGGCCCATGGGCCTCTTGTTTATTTATACTCAAGACACAAAACCGTATTTCAAATCCCTTTTCAAATATGCATAATTTTTTTAAAAATGTGCCGGTATTGAGTTTTTTGATTTCTTATAATACAAATCACTGTACTATAAAACGACTGTAAAGATATTACCTCCTTAAGACAAAAATGGTAGCATTAAGATAATTACAATTTAATTTTGCATGGAGAATACATAAATGAGTATTTTCTTTAATTATGAATTTCAGTTACTTACTATGCCGCTGTTCTATATAAAACGATGTCTCAACTTTTACCCAATAGGATACACCATGTTTCTGGGTATGTTATACATATGAAAATGCACTCTTATCAAAATACTGCCATCATAAAGGACTACTTTGTCATTTGTTCTTGCAAAAGTATTTTCTTTTAAGGACAGTGACACTAACCTGAATATTTTGTCGGTTCAATTTAAACAACTTTCAGTTAAGGTGTACGATGTAAATTAGATATGTATTTGCAGATGTAAGTGATGGAAAGTTTAAATAATTATGAAAATTCCTGTTGACAAATTGTAATATACTGGGAAACACCATTCAGTGCGCAAACAGACAGAACACGTGTTGTTTTAATTCTTTCTCTAAAGGGAACTAACTGTTCATTCACAAAATAATTTGAATCTCGATCACGATCACAAATACAATTACATGTACAAATACTACACTCCTCCCCTCTTACATTTGATCCCCTCAAAACTTTACTACAAATCAATTTAAACTTTAAATTAATTTTAGCCAGCCAGTAAACTTTATCAAGTCAAAATAGCAAATTTAAATTCTCAAGTCACTATTTAAATTTCCTCGATCAGCCTTTTGGGTGCATATCTTTCACGTGCGGGATAACACTTGACCGGTGTTATTGGAACGGGTGTGTATGTATTGGACGGCGGAGATTCAGCTGAAGAATTGGGTGGGTTGTCACTCTGGTCCGGCAACTGGTTTTGAGCTCTGGAAGGTGGAATGCGTTCAGGTGCATTGGACGGAGATATTACACCTGCATGAATGGGTGTAGAGTTGTCATCTACAGTGAAGTCGAAGATATCGATGTTTGGTTTTTCCTGCGGAAGATCAGCTTTACAATTCAGCAAATGATCGCAATGACAATACCCGGTGCGATTGCCAACCTTCACGAGATATGTTAGAGGTCCCATCACCTTGTGAACATAGCCTGGAATCCATTTCCATTTGCCAGCTTGAATGGTTGTTTTCACCTGTACTTTTTCCCCAGTAAGGAATTTGTTTACTTGAAAGACTCCTCTGTCATGATTTTGTTTCATTTTCTGCTGATAATTTTCGACTCGTTTTCCAGTGTCAGGTTTTATTAGAGACAGGCAGGTTCTAAGCTGCCTCTTTAGAAAAAGTTCTGCAGGAGCAACTCCCGTGGTAGTATGTGGTGTTATCCTGTATTTAAGAAGGAGGTCAGCCAATTTATGTTCTAGGGAGTGCGTCTTCCCATCAACTTCCTTACATTTCAATGTTTTTTTTTACTATCTGCACACCTCTCTCAGCAAATACGTTTGACTGTGGATGGTAAGGTGGTACCAATGTGTGCTTTATTCCGTTCAGTCGTGTAAACTCCTTACATTCACTTGATGTGAATTGTGTCCCGTTATCACTTACAATTTATTCCGGTAGTCCTGTCGAAGCAAACAGCATTCTGGGCTTGTCAGTTGTCACTGGGCTTGTCATGGATCATACCGGAATGGCGTCTATCCACTTAGAATAGCTATCACATACTATAAGTAAGGATTGACCCTTGTAGTCAGCATAATCAGTGTGTATCCTCTGAAATGGTCTCGTAGCTCAGATCCAGGGATGCAGTGGTGCTGATTTTGGACCGTTTCTTACGGACATACATGATGAACATTTTTCGACAACTTCCTCTATGTCCTTATCTAGGTTAGGCCACCATAGATATCCATGCGCTAGTGACTTCATCCTGCACATTCCCAGGTGTTCCTCATGAAGTTCTTCAAGTGAGCGCTTTCTTAGAGATTTAGGAATCACCACTCGAATCCCCATAACACAACTTCTTGCTCTACCCTCAGAGATATCCTCCTCTCAAAGAATGGTTGAAGTTCTGGATCTGCATTGTGATTGGGCCATCCAGTTAAGGTAAGTTCATGTACCTTAGATAGCACCGGATCCATCTTTGTTGCTTTAGCAATGTCAGTGTTTGAAATTGGAAGTTCTACATCATCCAGTTCAGAGAAGTAGACATGTTCATAATCTTCCTGTATCTGGTTATCAGAAAAAGGAAGTCTTGATAATGAATCACAATTTCCATGTTCCTGTGATGCTCGATATTGTATCTGGTACTGGTATCCTGATAGTATGAGAGCCCATCTCTGCATTCTCGCAGCAGCTAAGGTAGGTACTCCATTCTTTGGTCCAAAAATAGTGACCAATGGCTTGTGGTCTGTGATGAGAGTAAATGTCCTTCCGTACAGGTATTTGTTGAATTTTTTCACCCCGAATATGATGGACAACGCCTCTTTTTCCACTTGTGCATAGTTACGTTCACTGGAATTCAAAGTCCTTGAAGCAAAGGCAATGGGCCTTTCTGATCCATCATCCATAATGTGAGACACTACAGCTCCAAGGCCATATGCCGAAGAATCACATGCTAGACGAAGAGGTTTGTTCATATCATAAAAAACTAACACTTTTCCTTTCGTAATCATCTGTTTGCTGTTCTCGAAACTCTCTTCACACTTGTCTGTCCATGACCAATTTTCCCCCTTTTTCAGTAATTGGTGTAAAGGCTGTAGTACAGTACTTAAATTTGGTAAGAATGCTCCATAATAGTTTAAGAGTCCTAAGTATGCTTTCACTTCCTTTACATCTTTGGGTCCTGGAGCATCACGTACTGCAGCAATCTTCTCATCTGTAGGATGCATCCCCCGTTTGTCCACCAAAAATCCCATGTATATCACTTGATCAGCCATGAAGATGCATTTGTCCTTCCGAAGTGTGATATTGTGCTCTCGCAGACGGCAAAACACTTCTTGGATGGTCTTGACATGAGAATCATCATCTGGAGCCGTGATCAGGATATCATCAATGCGACACACTACATACGGAAGTCCGCTTAAAATTTTGTCCATTACCCCTCGGAAAATGGCACTAGCTGAACTCACCCCATAGGCTAGTCTTCTATAACGATAAAGTCCTAAATGGGTATTCACTGTGAGATACTCTTTTGAGTCACTACTCAGCTCCAACTGAGAATCTGCTTGTCGCAAATCAAGTTTCGTGAACTTCTATCCTCCTGCTAGAGTCTCAAACATATCATCCGTATTAGGTAAGGGATAGTGTTCTTCGCTGATGACTCGATTTATAGTGACTTTGTGGTCACCACAAAGTCTCACGGATTTATCTGGTTTGGAGACCACCACTATCGACGCGGCCCACTCACTTGTTTTTACGGGATAAATCACTCCTCTTTCTTCGAGTTTCTTTAATTCTGCCTCCACTCTTTCCTTGAGGGCATAAGGGACTGGACGGGCCTTGCAAAATATTGGTTGGCACTGTTCTTTGATTCTGATCTGAGCCTTGAAGTTTTTTATTGGATCTGGATTCTCCTCGAATAAATCCTCATACTCCTTGAGTAAAGTTTCTACCGATCCACTTGTCACTGAGAAAATGTTTTCCCAATTCAGTTTCATCTTTGACAACCAATCTCTTCCTAGAAGACAGGGCTGGTTTCCCTTAACCACAAAAAGTAACATTTGAGGCTCACATTGTTCATCATACTTGGCAGTCACTTCAAATTCACCTAGAACTGGAATTCCCTCCTTGGTATAGGATTTAAGCGATGCTGACGATTTCTTGAGATTATACTCAGAAAGTCTATTTCTGTAGACAGCTTCATTCACTATTGTTCTCGCACTGCCAGTGTCGATCTGAAAGTTCACAAGTTTGTCTCCTAGCTCTATGTCAACCGAATAGTCCTTTCTTTTGCCTGATGTTTCCGTGTTGAAAACAGAATATATGCTGTGCTCTTCATGTTGATATTCTTCAGTGTGATCACATTTGGAGTCCTCATTCACAAACAGAGTAGGTTTTCCACTAAACTTTGGATTCCCTTTTTCATGTCTGCATCTCTTTGCCAAATGTCCAATTTTCTCACATTTGAAACATTTTGTGTTCTTAAATTTACATGTATCTGCGTCATGCTTTCCCCCACAACGAAAATACTATCTAACTGTCACCATGGGCTTCGCGTTTTTTTTTCCTTTTCTGTCCCTCCAATAATTTGGCTTTGATTTCACGTAATGAACTGGTGTTGAATTACCGGTGAATGACAAAGTATTCTTTTCCGCAGTTTCCATTGCTGTAGCTATCTGTATTGCTTTTTCAAAAGTGAGATCTGCGTCAGACAGTAATTTCTTTTGAATGGCTTCATATCTTAGTCCACAAACAAGTCTCTCTCTCAGTGCTTCTTTCAAAAAGTCCCCAAATTCACAATATTTTGATAAGTCGCTCACATACTCATTTACTGTCTCACTTTCTCTCTGGTTTTTCTTGTTGAATTTGAAGCTTTCTAAAATCACCAAAGGTTTTGGCATGTAGTAGTCTGTGAGAGTTTTTACTATGCCGATCATTAAATGACTTTTCTTTCGGAAAGCAGGCTGAAGTAGATTCTTAAGGACACCATACGTCGTTGGTCCAACTACCGACAGAAACACCGCTACCTTTTTCTCTTTTTTGACTTTATTTGCTTCAAAATACTGCTCCACCTCTCCACGTAGTTCACAAATGTCTCCTTACCGTCGCTGAATTCTCCGAGTTTCCCGATGTGCGCCATTTTTGTTTAACAAATGTCTCCGACACCTTTATGCCTCGAAATAAACAAAATATCCCATGCTCGTCGCCACTGTAATATCCTGGGAAACACCATTCAGTGCGCAAACAGACAGAACTCGTGTTGTTTTAGTTCTTTATCTAAAGGGAACCAACTGTTCACAAACAAAATAATTTGCTCGATCTCCATCACCAATACAATTACATGTACAAATACTAAACAAATTCCTTTAAAATGTTATATCTATATAAAAAAGTATGTATCTATACACCTTATATGCATATTGTATAAAATTATTTGGAATCGTTGAAAACAACAACAACAATTTGCAACAATGTTTATTTAAACATCTTTTTATGAAAGTTACATTGTCAGTCATGGGTAATTTACAGTCAACGATATATTATTTTGGAATTAGCTCAAAAAACGACACGGTTATCAACTCGGTAATTTTGGCTTTAACACTGAAGCATCCAATCCTTCCTTTATCGCCTCCACTGGCACTGACCTTTCAACACAATAGAGTAAGTACCAGCACCACAGGTTTACAGTTAAGAAAGTACTAACATGTCTCTCTTTTGTTGCTAAAAATTTTACATTTAAAATGATAAAAATACTTGACCTCTACTTAGTACGTATATCATTGGACCTGAATAGATTTTTTAAAAAGTATATTCTAATGTGTGTTACTCCTTATTATTCCTTTTAAAAGCTCATGAATTTAAAAACAGTTTACATTTTTCATAATGCATTATCTCCTTTTTTTCTTTTCAATTTTTTTCCAGAAGATTTAACGATTTTAAACAATTTGTTAGCTTTAAAAATTAATGGACTTAAGTTACATAACGGTAATTTTTTTTTTCAATTTTCTTGAATAATAACAATTTAAGATATTTTTCTATCAAGGAATGGAGTAGATTTTCTTTTGGTTGAATTTTTTTTTCATCATTTTGCTTCTTTATTAGACTTCTTCATGATAAAAAAGACAAAGAAAAAAGATGGGTACCCCAAAGCGTAACAGACGGACGGACGGACAGACGGACGGACGGACGGACGTACAGACGGACGGACGGACGGAATTAACGATTACTATATACCCTCCCGCTTTTCAAGCGGGGGGTATAATAATATACATAGAAAGCATGAAAAGAACAAATATCTTTTAAAAATTACGAAAAAACTAACTTTTGGTTGGCCAATATATTTTTCCCTTTTTAATTATTTATCAGTCTAGTAATTATCCCAGTTTGATTCCTCTTCTTCTCCAATGTGAATCTCTTTACTAAACAAAATTATCTTTTGAAATAGAAGTAGGCATTATTACATGACTCGCAACAGCAATATTTTATTCATATATCAGAGAAAATGACAATGACTTCTCTTATATAAGATAGTTGAACGTTATTCATTGATATTGATTGAAATAATTCATTATTAGTGATATTGATAATTATAACGACTCTGTGAACATTTCATACTTTTTTAAATAATAATGGTTATTTTCATATTTTAGGCAGGACTTGGTGAAGCAAACTGTGTATTCTGGAGTTACTCCATATTGTACGTAAAACTGACTTTTAAAAGAATTTAAAATTTCATTAAAAAAATTAGTAAAAAACTACATTTGTTGGTAATGCATCCGTAAAGATAACTTTGCAGTAACAATTCTGGAGGATGGTCAACAGAAGGTTGTTCTATGAACTCCACAGAGAACGGCGTGTCTGTCTGTCTGTGTAACCACACTACAAACTTTGCCGTTCTCATGAGGCCATATACACCGGTAAACGCACATATACTTTCTTTCCATTTTTAAAAAAAAATTCTTCTGTTATAAAAATATATAATCCGTTTAATCCAAAATCCTTAACAAACAATATTAGAAAAAATATTCTTGGTAGATTTCTTTCAAAGGTATAATTTGAATTGAAATTTAGTCATTTATTTTAATAAATGCAAATTATTTTCATTAAATTCTTAAATGCGATTTTTTCCAAATTCCCTAATATAATGTTATTCTTATCAGGAAAAAGAGGACTCGGCCCTGGTGGTAATATCCATTGTTGGTTGTGTTTTATCCATGATCTTTAGTCTACTTACGGCTGCTGTCTTCATTAGTAACTGGAAGTAAGAAAATTTAAGAACATAGAATTAGGCATAGAAATCTTATCTTCAAGGAAATCTTAACTATATATAAAAAAAAAAAAACAAGTAAGAAAAACTCATAATTATAATTACATTTTGGGTCTGTCGGTGATCCAGTTTTTTTTTTCAGGAACATTTGCAAAAGAAAATTAAAAAAATTCTAAACATTCCAAAACGATAAGTGTCAAGTGAATAGTTGTTAGAATTATAGCCTATAAATTCATGAATATATTTCTTTGATTTGTTCAATTTTTAGACACATCAAAGGTGACAAGAATGTGTTGATAGTCATCCTGTGTGTATCTCTTTTCCTCGTATACCTCACTCTACTGGCAGGGATTGATAATGCACAAAATGAGGTACAATGTCTTTTATACATAACTAATAGGTTTATATCCACATTTGCTTTCATTGAACCTAAATGAAATGTTAAAGTGACAAAGAAGACATTCTAATTAAAGCTTCAATGTACTCAGCTTATCCTAAGGTTTTCTAAATCCAGTCCATCTTTTGTGTAGTTTGTCCGTTCCCCGTTCTAATTCGTTGTCTTTAATGTTACAGGCTACCTGTGCTGCTGTTACCTTTCTCCTTCATTTTTTCCTTTTGCTCACCTTCTTCCTGATGTTAGGAGTAGGATTATACCACTGTATGAACGTTACTGTGTTATTTTATGCTATGGCCATTACTAACAGATTCAACTCGCGATCGAGGCTTAAATTGATTCTTGGAACCACTACTTGTAAGTACTGTCATGCTTTGGTTGAAAGTTTGAATACAGGACTTTTGCTAACCCAATTGATACAAAATGTTAATTAAAATATTTCAATTTTCCAGGTATTTCTTTGGTTATCGTTTTTCTTACTCTGGGGAGCTGCTGGGAGACACAGTATCACGCCGAAAAATTGTACGTATCTTGAATACGTTTTACGTAAATAAATCTTTCATTAAGTCTAATCAAACTTGAAATGATAATGATCAGGTAGCATGTTATTGTTTTTCCAAAACGTCTTTGAAAAAGAAAATGTATCAGAAGCTTGTTTTGATATTTACAGTTGTTGGTTGTCGGTGTCCTCGGGAGCTATCTATGCCTTCATCGTTCCTCTTATTCTTATATTCCTGGTAGGTTTCGAATGAAAACAGAAAATGTTTGTTTATATGATTTCCAGTGGTGGAGCGTTTTTCTGCATTTGTTTTTCTGTGTTATTTACAGATGAACATTTGTATAATTGCCTCATTACTACGGGTTATGTTTCTGACGACTAAAATGAAGAAAGCAGAATTTAAGGAAAAAGTCAGGTACTATGCAAATGTATGGTGATTTAATTTCCTTGAATTTTTTATTATAGCTTTGTCAACTTTATCAACCAATGTTTTGTTTCTAACATATTAATACCAAGATAATGTACAGTGATCATTTTTAAATAATTAGTAAGACATCGAATCATGAACAGAGAAACAAACGCCGGCAACTAGAAAAGTGCAGTGGGATCAGGTGCTTAGATGGAGTAAATTCCCTATTGACCTATAAAGCTCTCTTTGAGTACCGAGTTATCTCTAGTCAAACTAGTATACAAACAAAAGCACTTCAGTAAAAATACGACATAGCAATATATAGTAGATTACATACAAGGTAAATTCACTAAACCGTTAATTCAAACTCTGTAACATCAACTTCTTGTCTGTAGCTTGTCTGTTTTTAAATAAATTTTCTCTAAATATGCTTTGTATAGAACACCGAATAATGCACAGATTAGATAATACTCAAATTCACAGTATATACGAAACTGAGTGGTTTCAGATTTTCAAAGTTTATATTAACATCTGTTAATTTTTTTTTTCAAAGAAATGCCTTAAAGAGTGTGTGTACTCTTGTTCCTGTTCTTGGGATTGCCTGGATTTTTGGAATCTTCGCCATTAATGAGGATCTTGTAGCATTTCAGTATATATTCACCATTGCAAACTCGATACAGGTAATCATGTTATACTTCTTACACCTTTTCTACCATTTAAATAGATACTAGTATATAAAGACATACCTGCCGTAGTGCCGTATTATTTCTATTTCCTTTAATTGATGTATTGTTTTATGATTGAAAATTCCATTTATTTTCTTCTATTATAGTTTAGTTTAAGAAGTATTTTAATCGTTATATTCAAAGAATAATACAATGAACATGGATTGAACAGCAGGCCAACGGCCTATATTACTTCTCTCCATAAGTTCTATTATACTTTAACAGAAATAAAAATAACTGGACATATGAAGAAAAGAGTTAATACCGATCAAAGTTTGATTAACTTGCTATTTTTATATCGAGATTTCATGAAAACTATTCTTTGAAATATGATTTTTTTTTCCAAGCTATGTATGATGCTTCTTATATACTTCACATACAGTTACTAAATCTATAAGTCCTATAGCTATCATATACGTGTCATGATTGTTCGTACTTTATTATTACAATCATCTTTATTTCTAGGGACTGTTGATATTCATCACTCAAGTCTTGCTGAATAGAAAGGTATGTAAACTGTTTGTTAGATGAATTAAATGTAAAATAGACTATTAAGGAAGCTCTAAAGATTGTACACCAAAGAGTTTTATGCCATAAGACAGATATGTCCTTGGAAGTAAGACAGAAAAAAAATGGTTATTTACAGTAAATTAGTTACACAATTTATGTTGGATTAAAATATTCTCAACATTATATTAGACCAAGAATAAGTAATTGAATTCATTATTTCCATTAATTTACCCATTGTTAGCAAACAAGGGTTATTTCTTTTCACAAATAGTCCATTGTCTTTGAACATTTGTACTGTGGAAATATGACAAGTACCATATATTGAAAATGATTTTAATAGACTCAATATACAAACCTCAATATGATATATTTTGCACCAAGTCCAACCCCCCCCCCCCATTTTTTGTAAATGTTTAGAGCTTCCCTAATAAAACCATCTCTGCAAAAAGAAAGTACCTTTAAAAGCATTATTGAATTTCTTCTAGATAAGGAATGCTTTGCTGGTGAAATACCCATTTTTAAAGAGAAAAAGAGACAAAACAACTGCAAAGGAGAAATATCGAAGAACAGTATCTAGCACAGGGTCGGAAAATACCATACCAAACACACAGAGAACAGGGATAACTAATTCGAGTTATGTGGATTATGTAAGTCGTAATTACATCATCTGAGAGAGAGAGAGAGAGAGAGAGAGAGTTCAGTATAAAAGTGAACTTAATATAATTTCACTAATGGTTAGGAAATATTAAAGGCATTCAGACAAAAATGATTTTGAAATGTGCATGTTACAGAGCAAATTGAAAACCTTGTAAAGGACAAGTAAATGTTTATTGTATTAACAGAAGGACCCCAAGGAGTTTGAAAGTACCACACAGCTCCAGGCAGAACGTAAAATATCATTGACATCTTATGGAAATACAGATTCTGACAATCATTCCCAGGAGATTTCAACAGAAACACAAGTAATGAAAAAACTAGTTGTCAGCTTAAACTACTTAAAAGTAACTTAAAACAAATATTTCGATAAAAATTAAAGTATTCTTTGATTTTTACAAATGATTCAATATTTTAATATAGGTTGAGTCCGAGAAAATGTGGGAAAGAAATACACATCTCCAATCCAAGTATCTGAGCATAGATGATAGAAGCAGCATTATTGAGAATAACCTTTACTCGACCTCTGTTAAACATCGGGTAATGCAAAATAATTTGGAAATCCTTTTAAAGCCAAGATATTCATCTATGTCTAATGATACTAAAAGTCTACTCATAGTTATTGATACAAGAAGTTTTTAGGTTTCTATTTTTATAATATTGAACTACTTTTGAAGTTATAGTTATCAGAAAACAAATCCTATGTAAGCAAAGCAATTGCGGGGTATAAGATATTTTCCATCAGAATCATCAAATATTTTTGCAAAACGTTCACCCTTCAACCATCGCATTATTATTTAACAACTGTGTTCTGATGTTTATGGAGAAAGGAAGTTCCAACTTGTTAAATCAATTTTAAGTCTAAATGTGGTAGTTCGTTTTGAAAATTTTGTCATTATTCATTCATCATCGTTGATTTCACTGCAATGCAATTCTATTTCCTTTACTATTACATTTTTTTCTGAACTTCAAACTGTTTTAACCGTTTAACAGTTCATAACTGCATGTTAATTTATGTTATGAAAAATTCTTTCGATGTTTTTTTTATAAAACTGTACTGAAAAAAGGTTCCCGACCAAGTGTCAGAAAATGAAGAACAACTTCAAAAAGTAATAGAGGAGACAAATATACAGATGGATATTGAAAACGATTGTCGCATAGCAACAACGAAAAAACAAGTAATGCAAAATAAATTATTGTCGATAAAATAAAATGTTTGTTATAAATTGATTCTAGTTAAGGTAGTTCGATCCTCAGGTTAATAAAATTAGCAGTTAAGTAATCGAAAATACTCATAAAAATATCTCTGAATCTACAAAGTAATGTAGATTTATCCACAGTATTTCTTAAAAGTGAAATATTAAAGTTAATCATATTATATAGGAAAAATTGTCAAATCTCCAAAATATATTCAGAAAAATATAGGAATATCAGCTGTGCATTTTCTAATTGCGAATTGATCAACAAATGTATTTTAGGTTAAAAAATAATAGGTATCCAGGCATTCAGAGATATTGTCATGATTTTTATACTTATTTGGTATTCTATGTCTTCTATTTCCTTCATGTATCATATACACCGTACATGTAATACATAGTGTAAAAGGCTTTTGCTATTATTGCAATACATCACAAATCACTTCTAATTTCATATCATTTTAATAAGCATTGGTATCTAAGGCTTGATTCAAGAAAATTTTATTTCTCTAAAACTGTATTATTTTTTTTCCCTTTTATTTTGTTCAAATGTTAACTTTTATAAGACCTTTTCTAAGACTTCCATAAACCTTGAATCATATATAGATGAATATAATGAAAATTGTTGCATAAAAGGTTTTGATTTTCAAGCCGCACATTGATGCGTTTTAAAATAAATATTCATTTTAGGAGTTATCCTTCCTGGCTAAGGATCGGATATCCTTAAATAAAAGTAGTGTTTTGTAGCTGGAATAAATCTAATAGTAGCATATTTACAGCATGGTTTAAACAAAGTGGTAGAGGAAAATGATATACAGATTGAAACAGATGAGAAACACATGAGAACAGTTAAAGAACATACATTTACCGAGAACCCTATCTTCTTGACCTCCGTGGATACGCAGGTAATATTAAATGCAAGTTGTAATTTTTAACAAAAATATTTTGACTTTTTAGGATCAGCATTTATCCAGATTTATCAAATCGACTCTTAATAATCGGTTAATCGACTGCCTTTCAAATCGACGACTCGATCATTATACAAGAAAAAATAAAGATTAAAGTACATGTACTTATTTATCTTCACGTTTGTATCATGGATGATAAAATGTTAATATTTTTCATCCATCTCAATATTCATAAGCATGAACTTGACCATTTACAACATCATGTATAAGAGTTATTAACCACTTATATTTGGCTTATGTAGTATCGCCAGAAAGCGGGTGTGACAAATGATGTGCAGAGAAAAGTGAAAACACTAGTTCCTCTGATATTTTGATATTAGTATGCTTGAAAAATAAATGGATTTTCACCCCTCCCCGGATGAAGGAATAAATTCGGCTTCAAGATCATGGAAATAACTTGTAGTCAAAATATGTTTGGGTCTTAAATCTAGTTTGATATTTTTGCTTGGTTTTCTCAGCACTCGAATGCTGATAGTAGTACTCAGAATTTCGAAAAGAACACAAAAGACAGTGAACTAGATGGCAACACAATGTTTTTATCAATATATTTAAGAGCAATTAATTGAAAAGTTCTTTTTTTTTGTCCATTAAGGCGCTTGAAAGTTTGATTCTGGGTAAGACAGACAAAATAAACCAGACTGAACCTGAAGCAAGAACTACAAAGTTCGGATCGACTTTATCCTCGACAGATAGTCTAACTAGTGGAAGTAAACAAACGGATATGAAATGGGTATGATGCGCACGCCCTTACAACTAATATATAAACGCTTTCTCTACTTCTAAGTATATTGATCCTTACTGAGAATCCATTCATTCTCTTTTAAAGGTACAATGACAAATTCTTAAACTTATGTTTCTCTTCAGAGCGGTGGGGAGATTGAAAGTAAACCAATAGTCCTGCCAGGAGGACAAAAACCAGTGGAAATTAGGCTGTCCAACTCAGTGAGAGCGAGGATGAGAAAAATGGCTCAGTTTTCAATCGTAAGAAAATGATTTGTAACAAAGAGTGCAAACTGAGAAATACACTCTTAATTATGCCAATTTTAATATGTGTTTTATAGGATATACGTTTAGTCACTTCACCTTCATATTTTCACATTCAAGAACTATGTCATTTTTACATTCATTTCAGGAAAAGAAGTTTATGCAGAAATAATTTCTTCGACTTGTAAAAACGATGGAGGTATCAAAATGTTAACAAAATGAACTGAATCCTGTAGATTTTGCAAGAATAATTTCAAAGATTGAATAAAATAAATATATTATCCAGATATGAAACAGATGTGTAAGACTTTGGGATATTTCTTTTTAAGTTCACTGGGATATATTGAGTCGACATATGAATGAAATATATGGAGATAACGAAAAGTATTTAAGTTCAAAAGTCCATAAAACAATACAAAATAGGAGACTTCAGAAACATCAGAGGTGGGATCAAGTGCCATGGAGGAGTGAGCATCCCCTGCCAACCCGTCATACACGCCGTGTGTTCCTTGTCATGATCGAGAAATAGCGGAAAAAATTCCCGTCAGTATGTAAATTTAATGGACTAACTATTGGTATGAAAAACGTCAGACAGTATTTGACTCAATGATAAAATGCATTTGATGACAAGGTCATTGTTTCGACCATAGACCTTACGACCTCGTTTTAGAAATTGCATATACGTAGAGCATTCTCTCGCGTTTGAATCAACTGAGAGATATAAACTGCGTTAACAGGTGATAAAAGTCTATTGCTACATATTAAGTAAGGGAAGGTGACGATAGAAAAGTTAAAGTCATCACCTTTATCATAGAACTTGGTTGTTAGATAACCATCAACGTATTTTTCAAAGTAAAATATCCAAATATGAAGTTGATGTGTCAGATTTGGTGGTATCTTTTATCTCAAGCTCATTAGGATATATCGTATCGACATAAGAATAGAAATTACTATTATTAATTGACAGTACGACATCGTTGTTATTAATTTTGAGAAAAAATTACTTTTATTTTTTCTCATTAAAATATTAGCAGTGTTGCAAATCAGCTGTGAATGTTTAAAGAATTGAAGGAATATCAGACAACTTAAATATCACATTATTTTACAAAAACAAATATCAAAATGTACCATTTTTCTAAATTTACCAGCATTCCCCGAGATGAATTTAATTTCAGACTTTTTCCTCATCATAGTTCATTTTTAATGTAGATTTATACCACGATTATATGTCTACATATGAGATTTGTGTCCTCAAGTTGATTAATTTGCAAGAGCATATGTCAAGATATGCTCTACCTAAAAACAATGTCCAAAACGATGCAAGATATTAATAGACATGTTGAAGAAACAGTCGTTTTGAAATCACCATTTTGCTGGTCCTATGGACAATACAATTATTTTTTTACATGCTAATTGTGAGTCCATTATTTCAATCTGAATAGTCTAAAAAAAATTCATTTGTCTAGTCATAACAAGGAGCACAGATCGGGAATGTAAACTTTATGACACACCATCCCACCTCTGATGTTTTTAGAGGTCTGCTTTTGCTTTACTTCCAATAAGTTTTGTTTGAGTGTCTTTTAGGTTTGATTATTCTTCGTTTTTTTTTTCCATAATTCATACATAAATTTTGTCAAACGTCAAATTCGAATAAAAATTAATTTGTTATAAATATACAGGGGTGGCATTAGACTGTCAGTTACATTTTGCATACAAAAAGTTGAAATGAATCAGATACATTTAATTAATTAAAAATAAGATTAAAAGACTGGATTTAGTAAAATTTTTAGAGTATTTGTACCTCATGCTTTTCGAGTTCTGAGAATCTTTATTTACTAATGCAAAAACATTTTCATTTTTCTGCAAGTTTTCGACAGCAAGTATTTTTTTTAAAACATCTATCTTTTTAAAATATAACATGCTTCAGATATAGTACTTTTTGTATATTTTTTCTTTACTACTGTATAACTGCATGGATACAATTTTTAAACTTTTAATGATATAAGAAAGCGAGAATACATTTTTGGAGGAGTTATCACTCTTTATTCAGTTTCATTTTACTAGAGATTCAACCTCATCGAAAACTTTTCTTCATAAATAAATATAAAATAAATAGATAAATGAATAAGGTTAAAACTTCAGATCTTACCAGATTAACCTTCTTTTGTTCCAATACTGTGGTAATCAAATTTTGCTCGAGGCATTAAATAAAAGAAATGTATAACAAGATATAACCATAGTAATATTGGCATCAGATCCCACCTCTGATTTTTTATAGGTCCGCGCGTCCTCAGCTCCCGATTTGTATTGTTTCAGTGAACTTTTGACCTTGATTACGGTTTGTTTTCTCCATATTTCAATGAAAAGGCAGCTTTCTTATCTGATGATAATCTGTAGAAATCATTTGCATTACTTCAAATAAAACAAGAGGCACTGTAAGCAATGAAATCACTCCACTCAATGATACCTCCCGCCTCCCATATGGTTAAATGGCAAAATCAATACCGGTATTTTACTCTTGGAGACCCGAAATAAATGTCAGATCAAAAAGTAAAAAAGAGGGTGAGTAATGACATTATGTAATAAAGAATCTGTGAAAGTTTCATAAAATTTTATTCAGCGGTATAGGAGGAGTTGAGGATAAGAGATTAGTATCCTTCAATATTATAGAAAGTTCTTAGATTCTGTAAAAGTCTCAATAAATTTTATTTTGTATACTGAAAGGAAAAAGAAACGCAGGGTAAACTTTTGAGGTGAATTAAATTTGTTTTTCTTAAAATACTTTTTAGTTTTCCTATCTACCTTTTAAAATCATATTTTAAAAAGATATAACCAAATTCTCATATGATTTTGTCTAATTATTCATAAGTTATTGATGCTCAAATGACGATACCCCCCAAAAGTGAAAATCGAAAACTCTCATTATCTTCAATGTCTATCTCATGCATTTGTCAAAGTCTTTTTTCCTCTTTGCATGGAATTTCAGAGTTTTAACTTTCAAATCCTGCTATATTTAGGTAACCACGCAAAGAATAAGTCAAAAGGCGCGCGCATGCGCCAGTGAGAGGAATACAACCGTAGGTTGATAAAAAACCAAATTGCAGAATTGTTTTCTTTCAAATTTCTTACGAATGTAATGATTATAATCATCTACTTATAAATGGCTGTTTTTGTGGTAATATTTAAGAGATGGCAGAAATAACCCGAACATGACTCTGTTTCACCGTCATTGTCACGGTTGATTGAAAACCACTCCAGACCCTCTCTGACAACTGCTAAAACGTTTTATGGGGGAAAATTTACAAGAGACTGCTTAGTAAACTGTTGTTGCCTTTTTCATTAATTAGGCAATTCGAAAACAAGACGCCATTGAACTTCTGTAAACTGTGCCAAGATTGCAATAAATTCATATTGTCTCTTAATATTGAAAAACGATGTGCATACATCATATGCATCAAATAATGCAACAAGATTTGTTGACAAACTCGTCGTTATCAAATTGCACGTGTTTTGAGCTTTTTAGCATTTTCCCTACGTGACGTCATAAATTTTACGTTGAGTAATTCTCTGATTTTGATGCACAGTTTTTTGACCAATTTTCGTAATTTTCGGTCATGTGGTCAAATTTTTATCGGAAATTATGCTACCCTGCGTTTCTTTTTCCTTTCAGTATAGATAAGAGATGGCGGATAAAAGATGCGGATAAGAGATGGCACCCCAAATCGTAACAGACGGATGAAAGGACATCCCGATCACTATATACCCTCCAACTTTTTAAGCGGGGACAGAAATATTCCTCAAGAGAAAACTATACACACCCTACTTATGTTTAAAAGACTTCATTAATATGCGAGTTACAGAAAAATAAGTTGGTAAAGTTGTTTACAAAACTAACCAAATCTGAATATTTACGTACCATCAGAAGATTACGTGATTAAATTCTAATAAAAATTGTAAAGTTTTCTTTGACAAAACACTGAGTTGTATCACTAAATAATAAAACAGTTTTAGTTTAAATAAAATAATAAATGTTAAAATTCTAAAACATTCCCGTGACTTCTCGAAAGTGTGCATATGTCAAAGAGATCAATTACGTAAAAAATGTCTTTAATGCCAAACAAAATATTTTATTTTTTTGCGAATTTATTTTCTTCCGAATGAATTACTGTGTGTTGTTTATTTTGTACAAAATATGTTAAATAAATATTTTAAAACCTGATCCTAAATCGGAATGATAATCATCTAGCATATGGGTCTGAAGTTGTAAACAACAAATGTCATTGAATGAAAGTTTGTAGGGCCTATCGCATGCGTAACATGATTAAAAGTGACTTATTTTCATTATTAATATCAGAGCTGGCCATATAATGTACAAGCATTGGCATTGCAAAACAATAATGATTGGCGAAATTTTAGATCTATTCTGCAACTATTTTAAGGGTCGTTTGTATTTAAAAAATATTATTGGCCGTTTAACTAGACCATTCTTTAAAAGTTATTTGATGAATTTTGACATATGTATAAAAGTGTATTATGGTTTCGAAGACATCGCGTGCATTTGACGGCAGCGTATCACTGAATACCAATGTTAGACTGTCGTTGATCGCTGGCTATATAAAGAGACATGATAAGTCTTAGAATTTTTTTAAATTGGCAAATCCTAATAACTATCTGTGTAAGTACAAGTGTAGTTGAAATTATTTACTTATTTTTTAATTGTCTACGTTGTCTTATAATGGCATTTATTCATTGACTTCTTGACCCGTTTTTTTTTACCCGTCCTTTTACCAACAAACTTGTTGTCAAAGAATATCTATTTATTTTAAAAAAATTGTTTTGATTGTTGATTGTAAATTATATCTTTAGATTCATTGATGTTTCACGTTGAACACCAAAATTCTTGGAGTATACTTTTGAAAAAAAATAGAGCTTAATTTTGTTAAAACCGCTGCCTTTGTGCAAGTTTTCCCCTAGTTTACACCCTTGGCTCCTGTGATATTGCAGAAAATCGTAAAGACGGGCGTTAACATATTCAAATGTAAATTTTTCATTTTAAGAGATACAGAATGAAATTTATTAGGCCTTTCATATGGAAAAGTTTCTTACAATGAACAATGTATATGTGTTTCAAGGACAAACACACATAGTAATCTGGCATCATAGCTAGCTATC